GTTAACAGCGTATCACCAGGATGGTGTCGTCCTGGATGACCGGTCTCGGGTAAGAGACCGGTTGACGACTTCTCCCTCTGGCGCCCGAGCGGCCTCGTTATATCGGCGCGGCTAACGATATTTAACCGCGAGAAGCGGCCGCGGTGTCCGGCCGGCGCCACGTAGCGGCGCCGCGCCGAGTTAACGCGCGCCGAGGCTCCTCGTGACTCGCGAAGGCGGGAGGGGTGGGGAGAGATTAGGCGCGGATCTTCGGTGTCTAACGATATATTTAACATTATAACTCAACGAAAAACCAACTATATACATGAGATGATTATATACATGATAGCATAGAAGGAAAAACAACAAAAAAGAAGAAACGGAACGGAAAAAGGAGGTAACAAAACGTAGCGGGACAGGGTGTCCCGTTACAAGGTGGTTGGCAGGAGAGCCAGGCAGACCCAACCAACCTCAGGGGGGGTTAAACCTTCCCCTATTGCCGGGAAAAACCAACCCGCCAAGGCGAAGAAGGAGGGGGGCAACTGTCCACCCCCGGAATCCAGGAAAGGGACCGGGAGTGGGAAACCCCCCACAGATCCATCTGGGGTAACGGGAGGGAAGGGTGTTCCGCGCCTAAAGTCGCCAACGTCCGCGGCGGTGTGCATCACCTGTCCAGCTGGCAAGTACAGCGAGGTGATGTGCATCGCCAGGAGCAAGGTCCCCCTCTATGAGCTGGCGATAAAGAACCTCAGGTGCAAGAGGGCCATCACCGGGGCCCTCCTGCTTGAGGTCCCTGGCCCGGAGGGGGACAAACTAACCGACACCCTGGCCAGTAGACTTAGGGTGGCGCTGACTGGAGAGGAGGGGGTCAGGGTGGACCGTCCCTCAAAAAAGGCAGAGGTCCGCCTACACAACTTGGAGGACTCTGTCACGGTCGCGGACATAGCAGCGGCCGTGGCAGACGCCTCGGGAGGGGACTCCTCCGACATTAATGTGGGGGATGTAAGGAGAGCCCCCAACAGTCTGGGGACTGCCTGGGTGCGGTGCCCCGTCGCCGTGGCCAAAAAGGTCGCGGAGGCGGGTCGCATTCAGGTAGGTTGGGGTATGTCTCGGGTTGAGGTGCTGGCGGCTAGGCCCCTGCAATGCTTCCGCTGTTTGGAAGAGAGGCACGTCCGTCAGCACTGCCGCAGCAAAGTCGACCGTTCCGGCTTATGTTACCGCTGCGGCGGCCCGGGTCATCGAGCCGCGGAGTGCACCGGACGACTATCGTGCCCGGTGTGCTCCACGGCCGAGAAAGTGGTGGCCCACAGGTTGGGAGGAGGGGCTTGTACGGCCCTCCAAAAAAAGAAGGGGAAAGGGAGGAAGAATAAAGGGGCGGGGAATGCCCGAACCTCGCCCACCTCCCAATCCCACCAGGAAGAAAGCCAGCAGCGATCCCAGGAAAACGCGGCTGGGTCATCTGGGATGGGTCAAGTGGACCCTCCCCCGAGAGCGAGAAGGGAGCCCAGGGGGCTCAAAGCAGAGACGGCTCGCCCATCTGCACCCGAGGCCCCAGAGGCTATCATGGAGGTGCAGATGGAGGAGACTCCCCCGGCGACGGAGGAGAGAGGCGGAACGGGGGAGGAAGTAGCCCCCGCTATTAATGAGGTGGTCGTCCTGGAGGAGGTAAATCTGCCGCCCCTAAATGGCGACTAAACTCCTCCAGGCCAATCTAGGCCATACAAGGATCGCCCAGGACCTGTTCCTCCACTCGCTCGCTGAGCGGGGGGCAGGCCTGGGCGTGGCGTCCGAGCCCTACCGGATCCCGGCCGACGACACTCGGTGGTTCGGGATTCCGGGGGGCTCGGTCGCAGCCTACTGGAGGAGCTGCCAGGAATCTTCCCGGCCGACGCTCATAAAGGCCGAGGAATTCCTGGTGGCGGTGAAGTGGGGGGCCCTAGTAGTGGTCGCCCTTTACGCTCCCCCAAGGTGGACGGGGGCCGACTACGAGGAGCATCTTGACAGGGTGGCGGGGGTCATTAGACGGTGTGCCCCCCACCCTGTTGTGGTGGCCGGGGACTTCAACGCCAAATCTGGCGCGTGGGGTTCTCCGGTCACCAATCATCGTGGTCGGCTCACCGAGGCCTGGGCGGCGTCGAACGGCCTTGATCTTCTCAATTAAGGCTCGGTGAGCACCTGCGTGCGCCCGCAGGGCAAATCTATCATTGACCTCACATGGGTCAATGGCCCTGCGGTGCGCGCGGTGGGGGTTTGGAGGGTGGCGGAGGGGATCGACACTGGTTGCGACCATCTCTACATAGAGGTGATCCTCTCCGCCATTTCCCCCGAGGTGCTCCGGCGCCGCCGGGAAAGGGAGCGCGGGCGGCCCGGCAGATGGGCCCTCCGTAAATTGGACGAGGACGCCCTCAAGGCGTTCATCGCCGCGGCGGAGTGGGTTCGGGGAGACGATCCTCCTCGACCCATTCTGTCCCCGGACGATGTGGAGGAGGAGGCGGAAGAACTCGGGGCAGACATGGAGAGGGCGTGCGACGCCTCCATGCCCCGAGTTCGCCCCACGCCCTTCAGGTCCGCGTACTGGTGGACGGAGGAGATAGCCGAACTTAGGCGCTCCTCCGTCCAGGCCAGAAGACGTATGCAGCGGACCAGAAGGGCGGGGAACGTCGCCGAGGCGACGACGGCGCGCAGGGCTTTCCGGGCCGCACGTAAAGCACTGCGCGTAGCCATTGTGAAGGCCAAGGCCAGGTCCTGGGAGGACATGCTCAAGTCCCTGGACAAGGACCCCTGGGGGCGCCCGTACAGAATAATCTTGCAAAGATTACGATCTTGGGCGCCCCCGGTGACGGAAACTCTCGAACCCCCACTCCTCGATAATGTGGTGGGGGCCCTCTTCCCGGAGGAGGGGCCACCGCCCCTTCCGTACGAGGGTCCTCCGCCGGACTGGAACGAGGAGTGGGAGGTGTCCGGGGACGAGATGACCCGGGCTGCCCGCCGGCTCGGCGAGGCGAAAAAAGCCCCTGGACCGGACGGGGTCCCGGGTCGAGCATAGGCCCTGGTCTTGGCCGATGTCGGGGCCCGCCTGAGGCACATATTCACCGGATGCCTCAGGACGGGTATTTTTCCCAGTCGGTGAAAAAGGGCGGGGCTGGTCCTCATTCCTAAGGTGGGCCGGCCCCTGGACACACCTTTCGCGTATAGGCCCATATGCCTATTGGACGAGGTGAGTAAATTCTTCGAAAGAATCGTGGTGGCCCGCATCGTCCGGCACCTCTCCCTGGAGGGCCCGGACTTGATCGACGCTCAATTCGGCTTTCGCGTTGGCCGCTCCACGGTGGACGCCATTCTCCGTGTGAGGGCCTTCGCGGAGGCCGAGACGGAGGAGGGGAGGGTAGTTGCGGCAGTCTCGTTAGACATAACAAATGCCTTCAACTCCCTCCCCTGGGACCGGGTAGAGGAGGCGATGCGATATCACCGCTTTCCCCTCTACCTGGTCCATATTGTCCGGGCCTATTTTCGGGAGAGGACTCTGGGGTTCGTCGACCGAGACGGACTCCAGCGCGGAAGGGGCATGCGGTGCGGGGTCCCGCAGGGGTCCGTCTTGGGGCCCCTGTTGTGGGACCTCGCATACGACCGCGTCCTAAGGATAGCCCTTCCCCTGGGCAGCACAGTCGTCTGCTATGCAGACGACACGCTAGTGCTGCCCGGGGGCACCGACTGGGGGGAAGCGACGGCCCAAGCCAATGTGGCCGTCGAGTGCGTCGTACGCTCTATTCGGGCGCTGGGCCTGAGGGTGGCTCCCAACAAGACCGAAGCGCTATTCCTGCACGCTCGGTCCGAGGGGCCACCCCCACAGGCCCACATCATGGTGGAAGATACCCTCGTTGCGGTGGGGCCCGCGCTGAAATACCTGGGCCTCACCCTGGATGGAACCTGGGGCTTTGTCGAACACTTCGAACGACTTAGCCCCAGGCTGGGCAGGATGGCGGGCGCGCTTGCCTGTCTCCTGCCCAACTTCGGTGGTCCAAAAACGATGGTGAGACGGCTGTATGCCAACACGGTCCACTCAATGGCCCTATACGGGGCCCCGGTGTGGGCGGGTAAGATGGGGCCAGCCGACGCATCAGGGCGCTAGTCAATAGCGCCCAGCGCGTCATGGCCAACCGTCTCACCCGCGCTTGTCGGACCGTGTCGCATGCAGCCGTCACGGTCCTGGCCGGCATGATCCCAGCGGACCTCCTCGCTAGGGTGTACGCTGACACGTACACCCGTCTGAGGAGGCTCCGCGACGAGGGTGAAGTTCTGTCGGCCGGGACCATAGGGCGGATCCGTGCCCTGGCCCGGTGTAGGGCCCTCCGACGCTGGAAAAGGCAACTCGGGGGGCCCAATGTACCGGGTAGGCGGACCATAGAGGCCATCCGCCCCTGTCTCCTCGAGTGGGTGGACAGGGGCCACGGCGGGTTAAACTTCCACCTGACACAGGTGCTCACCGGGCACGGCTGCTTCGGTGAGTACCTGTGTCGAATAGGGAAAGAGCGTACGACGCAGTGCCACCACTGTGCGGCCGATCGGGACACCGCGCAGCACACCCTGGCCGAATGCCAGGCGTGGGCTGCCGATCGCGGTGCCCTGATCGCAGTGGTTGGCGGCGACCTCTCGCTCCCGGCCGTAGTCAAAGCTATGGTCGGGAGCAAAGAGGCCTGGGAGGCGGTGGTCTCCTT